CTGCTGAAATTTTCCAAGCTGAGAGCCTGCCTCAGGCTGATTTACTATTATTGACGATTTTTGCAAAAACAGATCATCCATGTTGAAGAATGCAACCAGTGAAATATAAAGTTTTGCCAGTGTTAACCATTTTTTTTTAACCATTTTAAAATAATACTAGCAGGTTATACATTCAGAGCAGGGCCTTGACCATTAGCAGAGGGATACTCCTGAGGGCATTTTGCTATTACCATAAAAATAATGTAAATTTAACTAAGTTATAAGCACGTTCGAATTATTTGCATGTGCTGTGTGCAGCTGGTTGGAAGTGCTTCAGTTCTCTAAGCATTTCATTTGCACTGGGCATGCCCATCTGCCTCAGTGAGTCTCTTGTGTTTTTCTGAAAGAAGCCAAAGAAACAAGAATGTCTGAGAGAGTCACAAAAGAAAGCAGGCCTTCTTGCACCAGATATTCTTTGTCATAGGAAAGTGCACTGGACTGGCAGCCAGGAGACCTTGAATGTACCTCCCCACTTCCCATTCACTGTTATTAGTAACTCTAAAGCTTACAGTCCTTATTGCTTTGAATGGCTCAAATCCTGACAAGAGAAGGCATGTAAGTAGCAGCCATTCACTGTGCAGAAGGGGGATATGAAATACAAAATTTCACTTCTGGTAGAATAGAAACAGGAGAGAAACATTTAAATGCGGCAGACCCATGATTCAGCCATTTAGGTGAACCACTTATTTCTCAAAGTCCTTGAAGACTTTGTCAAAACTATTTATCTGACTATTTGGTATATTAAACAGGGGTACTCCACCATTGTTACAGGTGGTTGGCCTGTTGGTGTTGGTAGTAACCCCTTAGGTTCACACAGCAGTAGCCTTTGCAGCTCAAAGACACTGGGTTTAAACCCAATGGATGGCCAATGCAATTTTATTTTGTTCTTTAAAACAGCATTTCTCAACCTGTGGGCCACGACTCAAAAGTGGGGTGCAAGAATGTATGAAAAGGTCACAAACAAATTTTAAATATGGCTCAACAAACTTAAAAAAAATGAAAGTATGTTGGAGTCAAGTCATGAGAACTTCCACTTCAGTAGTAGAAATCTTAGTGTTCAGCCACTATAAATAGGAATAGATGTACTCTATGCTTGCTCCAAATGGGTGAACATGAAGAAATGTTGAAATTATACCAACTAATAAAGCTTCTTGTTCAGGTTTCTCCTTTAAAGGAGAAAAAACATGGGAAACTGTGGCCTTTCCCTTGCAGGCTGGCAGAGTTCCAGCCTGCAAAGGGCTGCTTGGGGCCCCCCTGCCCCACACACTGTGGGGCTGGGGGCAGGGGCAGTGGGTCAGGAGTCAGAACCACTGGGTCAGGACTGGCCATCGATGTTTACAAATGGGTCCTGGTACAAAAAAGGTTGAGAACCAGTGCCTTAATACACTTTGAAATACACTAAAAAATAAATACATTTTAGAGTACAGTTTTTTCCTACCCTTACATTGTCTGACTAGATAGAGAAACTTCTTGAAAGTGGCCAACACTTGCTGATGGAGACTTTCCCTTGCACTGACTTTCTGTCCAGAGAACCCAGGATCTGAGGTGGAAGGATGGTGTCGCTGATTTGCTGCAAAGCAAAACACTCAAGAGTTAAGAAATACCAAGCTGAATGTTGGATTTGTCACCCTACCTCTGCCCCCCCTTAAGCCTATGCAATAGAATGTAGCTTCTGATTTAATTAACACACAACTTTTTTCCCCAAAATTCTTTTTTCTCAATGCATTGGGTTCTCCTGTCCAAGAAAGGTTGCCATAATTTCTTGCACAAGACACTGAACAGCTGCTGTCAACATTAGTGCTCTCTGAAATGCCTTATTTGCTATCTTTAAGTATGAAAGATTGCTGAATCACAGAGTTATAAGGGACCTCAATGGCCATCTAGTCCATACCTCCGTATAAATGCAGGGATGCTACTCCTAACCTATCCTTTTGAAATGCTTATCCAGCCTCCTCTTCAAAAACTCTAATGCAGGAGATGCTATAACTTTCCTGGGCAGTCTGTTCTATTGCCTTACTTTACTACCAGGAAGGAAGATTTTTTTCTTGAGATGTAATCTAAACCTGCTTTAGTGCGATTTAAAACCATTTCTGTGCATCATGTCCTCTGTGGCAAGGGAGAACTGTCATTCCCCTTCTTTATGGCAGCCTTTCAGATATTTGAAAACTTCTATCTTGTCTGCCCTTAGGCTTCTTTTCTCCAAGCTAAGCATACCTAGCTCTCTCAGTCTTGCCTCTTACGGCTTGAAACCTCCTCCCAGTCTGAGACTGATCCATTTGTAATTATACTTTGCTTGCGGTTCTTGAGCCAATTAGATAGTCACCCAATAGCAATTTTACCTACCCTGAATTTCTCCAGTTTACTTAGGAAATAAGGCATGGAGTATTGTGTATATAGTGTTACAATGAAATCACTTGTGTTATTTATTTATCTGTCTCATCTCACTCAGCCTCTCTCATCTCTCCAAAACTGTCATCTTGCCCAGAAAACTTACTTCTGAAAGACAGGGGGCACCAAGACCTGCACCAAGTTCAATAGATGTGGTTTGGCCAATCAGCTCTTTTCTCTGCCTGATAACAACGCCCCCTGTACAAGCAGCACTCTCCAGTGCCGTCCCTTTCCATCACTAATGAAGTTGATGGCAAGTGAGGAGTAATTGCATTTGCAGGTGACAGATCTGGACCTGTGTTGCTGGGAAGCGCATACTTGGCAAAAGCTCCCCGTGCAGAGATGAGTGGGGGCAACCAAGTATGAAATCCCTGGCAAAATCATCCTGTCAAAACAGCTTTGCTCTGCTTGGTCCAGGTGCACAAAGGACATCAATAAAGTACAGGGCAGTGGGTTTTCTGGGGTGCCAGTGTTTTTTCAGTGGTGTCAGC